AATTCTCACACCTCTTTGAGATGTATACAAATGATGGTGTCCTGTGGGTGTCAAATGCAGGTAGTGTGTGTGTGTGTGTATCCAAAGAATAAGTGTGTTTGTATTCATTAATAGTGTCTATGTGTCTTTATGTGTTTGGGTTTGTTGTGCCTTGGGGGATGAAGAGGGTTGTACAGTACTTCTAACAACAACAACAACTGCTGTGTGTTTATGTGTGTGTGTGTGTGTGTGTGTGTGTGTGTGTGTGTGTGTGTGTGTGTGTGTGTGTGTGTGTGTATATAGAAACAACTGTGCCTTGGCACCTGTCTCCCTCAATCCAGGGACAGATGAAGTTTAAACTGCATGGACAGCTTGGATGACAATGTTGAATCGCTTGACAAAATCTCAGCCTCCGCCCTCTGTGCACAAGACATGACATGACATGACACACACACACACACGTACGTACATACATATGAAATATAACATGACGCCGTGTGCAGTCAGCATGGCGAAAGCATGCAATACCCACTGTACATGCTTGTCAAAGCAGGCAGTCTAAGCAGCGGCTGCTATACCACATGTCTACATGAGTGTACCTCACTGCCACCTCCCCCACTATCCTGACAACCCCCCCTAAGGCCCAGAGGAACCCAAGACCACAGAGCAGGACATGCTAGAACAGAGCCAGAGAACAGCTCTCATCCTCAGGCTGTCTCTCAGCTAAAGTAGCACAGACACGCCCACCATATGCTAAGAGCAGCCTAGCATACATCATCAACTACATTATGTGTTTTAAGTAACTATTCTAACATAACAATGTTGACACTCGGGGATCCTTGCACGAGCATGTGTCTCTGTATATCTTCTCCACTGCAATGACATGAGGAAAAGAAGTGTGGCGTATTTACAGAGCGGTAAGACGCCGTTAGCCATGAATTTTCAAGCAAAAGAATCAAAAATACTTGCACACAAAGAGTTAAAAAAGTGAAGGAGCAGAGCTGCAGGGACAAGCCCTGCTGTTAGTCTGATGCTCTGCCAACTATCTGAAAAAGGCCTCACCTGGGCCAAGACACAGCAAAACCAAAACAGGCCATACCATAAACAGCGTACCAATTACTTGTTTTCATCGAGCCAAACTTATGACAAACAAAAAAAAAAAAATCATTAACAGTGTCTTGTTTTTCTAGTTCTGATCCTGCTGTTCTCAGCATGTGCACAAAGTAGTTGACAGAGAGAAGCTCTGCTCAAGAAGGGAACTTACCGGCAGCATTGCTTGGTAGTAAAGCCCCATCATTGTCTGATCTAGGGGAACAACTGCTGACCAGCTCTCCACTTTCCCGTCCCTTCTCTTCTCCCCTTCTCTCTGGGTCTCTACTTCTATTTCTCCTCCTGTTCCTCCTCTCCTCTGCCTGTGCTCTAGGACCATGAGCTGACGATGGCTACAGTCCACGTCTGTCTCACACATTCAAATTCTCCCTCGTTCACTCCCTCTTCCTCCTCCTTCTCTTCGCCGGTGTCTGTTCTTCCACTTCTCCAGCACGCAAGCCTCGTCTGCCTGTCACTCCTCTGCTTCTCTTTTCTTCGTCTCCCCGGCCCTGCTGCTCTGATCCCCCCCGGGCCTTTCTGTCTCTCTCTCCTCCTGACAGCCTGAGTCTCTTCTCTCCTCCTCTTCTCTCTCTCTCTCTCTCCTTCTCTCTTCTCTTTGCTCTGCGTCTGTCATTCACACACTCGCGTTACACGTCCTGCTGCTCCCCCTGCTTCCTCTTGTTCCCGCCCCTCTTTTAAAACTTTCCCTCCCTCTCAGCCTCAGTCCCTCCTATTCATCAAAGCATCCTTCCATGTAGCCATCTAAACTGTGTGTCTGGATGGAGTCAGAAAAGCTGCTGTTGCTGTCTCCTCAAACCCCTGGAGAGAGAAAAGGAACAGGAAGGAAGAAGATGCTGTCTTCTATCCACGCACTGACTGCCTCAAAGTACAGAACACGAACGCGACCCCCACTGCATTGCAGCTTCTTTTTTTTTTTTTTTTGATGATTTATTTATTGCGTGGCAGCCTGTCAGCTCCAAAAAACAGTGGTAGGTAGGCCAGTCGGTAGACGGCTAGGTAGCTAGCTGCGTGGGTAGGCTCCTAGATCAACATCTCTCTGCTGCAGCTGCCTTCATCACACAGATGGAAGTCTCCGCAAAAAACTGAGAGAGCGCCGGCCCCCCGATTCCAATATCTAAACCTCAACCCGAACATGAATCTGTACCGCGCTGCATTGCGCCTTTTCCTTCTGGCTCGGGCTCAGTTCCCTCACTTCCCAACCACTGTATTGTTAGGAGGCGCTTAATTTGCAGAGATGAGAGTGCAGTTCCTTGCACTGCATTTTCATATGGGAGGGACTGAACTCTGCGGAAAAAAAGCCCTGATGCCAAGCTTTCAGACATCTGCTGAGTCTGGCTAGAATTGGGTCCAGAGGGATGGAGGGAGGGCCACATAAGTGATTGGAGTTGGTGGTGGTGGTGGGGGGAGAAGGGGGCAAAGGAAGGGAGCCGGGCCAGAGTGCGGGGCAGAAGGGCAGTGGATGCGGGCGAGAGATAACGGGATAGGCAGATAAATGGATAAAGGGCTGGGTGAAAAGAAGAGCGAGGGATGACAGGATTAGGGCTGTAAGTGAGGAGGATGAGGGGATGAATAGGGGATGATCTGAGGATTAAGCACACAGACTGAACACAGAGATAAACACACGCCGGCACGCACAAACACATGCACATAATGTACACACAGATGCGCTGTGATCATATTCACGCTGCTGCTGCTGCTGCACCTTGGCCGACACACATGGGCTAAAAAACAAAAGGCCATATCGCCGCACACTCGCTGGCTAATGCACGCAGAGGCCTGCTCCACCAAACACACCATCAACACATAATCAATAGCTCAAGATTAACTGTTCTATAGCGATAATCAACAACATTTTCAGGAGAACTGCACTTTCCTGTGTGAAGGTTATGATTACATATTGTTACTGCTAAATGGTAGAAAAATGCTTATGTGTGCAGTCTCTGAGGCTTGTTTGCATGTGTGTTTGTGTGTCTGTGTGTCTGTGTGTTGTTAGCCCTGATCATTACTGTGACCTAAACAGCAGGAAACTGACCCCACAAGTCAGAATGGCCACACACACACACACACACACATTTACCTTTAACAGTGCGCAGCAGCAGGGGACCCACAGGAGCCTGTCATCGTTTAACACGCTCATATTGACACAGGCAGAACTACAGGCAGTTCAAACATGCATACATAACGTAAGACAGGGGCATTACCAAGACAAATGTACTGCAGCGATGAAACAAGCCAATGCGGCTAAGCTAGGCTTGGCTAGCTCCATTTGCATGATAACCAGCAGCTAGTGTGCTGGAGACTCCTAATATGTGCGCTCAAGGGCAGAATACATTAGCACAGACGACTTTTAAATCATTTATAAAACAAATGCAGCAGTGTGCGTTGGCTCTGAATTTAACAGATGACGACGGGGGGTGGGGGTGGGGGGGTGGGGGCGGGGTGTTCTCTACCCAGGTGTTTGTCTTACAAGCAGATAAACCCAGGCAGGCGAGGGCCGAGACAGGAATATAAGTCTCCTCTAACTGAGCAGCTGACTATTGTATGATTTTGTGCCCTGCAGGCAAAACATCTTAAATGACTTTCTTCCATTTCTGTTTCACCTCTGCTCCACTTCTCCGCTTTACCCTCTCATTCCTCTCCTGCCTTTAATATCTCGTACCATTTTTAGTTTCTGTTGTCTGGTCAACACACAAACAGAAATAACCGAATAAGAGACACAAGGGAAAGAGAAATTGAAATCTGAGGAAAATTCACTTTAAACCTCAAAGCCAAATTGTGAGAGTGTGGGCCTCTCTCTCTCTCACACTCACGGAGAGCTGTATTCCCAAGAAAGGAGATACCGAGGGTAGAGCAGAAGTGGAGAGTCAAGCAGAGGAGAGGAGGGGGGAAAAAAAAAAAAAAAAAGGGAAGAAGAATACATGAGAGGGGGTGAGGCCTATGAGAATCTCCCATGTTGTGATTTGGGGAGGGAGGCTGGGGGCAAGCAGACTCACAGACCAACACTCCCCTCCTGTGGCACTGCCAGAGAGCTGCACATCCCAAATACAGACTGGAGACGCGCACACGCACACACACACACACACACATACACACACAAGAGTGGTGCACACTCTTAGATACAGAGCCCTTTCTCCTAAACACACTCAAATGGGGTCTGCTCATGCACACACACACACACACACACACACACCCATCCACACATGAGCACTGAGCTGGTTTGAGCCGCTCAATGTGCTCTGCTGCTCGGAGGTAGATAAGAAAATAGTCGGCTTCCCTGCCGCTGCGCTGCACACATACGGCACTCATTACTGAGAGCAATATGCATGGAGAGACACTTAGAATGAGAAAGAGACAGAGGGAGACATGAAGAGAGAGAAAGTGTGAGAGGATAGGAACGGTATTGTGAAACAGTGCAGCGTGTGGAGCGTTCAGAGCTCAGTTTAAAGAAGGTGGTAGCATAATTTCTCTCTGCTTTCTGTGGGTCAAGCCTTTGAAAGAGCAGCTCAGTCACCACCAGTTCCTCTTTCATCAATTCTTCTAATAGCCATCATTTATAAGCTGCCACAGGCAGCAGCAGACCAACTGCGTAATTGTCTCGATAAGGATGGTGTAGTACATCAGAGCCCATCCTGCCGGGTGACAACACTGGGCTCACCTGGCCGAGAAGAACTAAGAGTTGGTTTCTAAAATGCGCATTATAGAAGTGGGGTTCTTGTTTCAGTGGACACCTCCTTTGAACGAGCGGCATTTGATCAAATGGACTTAACGGCCTTCGACTTGTGGCTTGAGAGGCTGTTCAGAGGTAATCAGTGGCTGAAAACCAGCACATCTCCAGTGATTCGAGGATTCTGTAATACATTATATTTTAATTTATTATTACACAGGTTTTCAAGCAGTCACTAATCTCTTACCTGACTGTGCGCTGGGTATCCATGGAAACCGGGGTTTAAAGGCTCATTGTTCTGCAAGAGACAACAGGAGGGAAGAGAGCGGAGTAAGTGCATGGGCTTTTGAAAAATGAGTGGATGCGGCACGACGGTCCGAAACTTCTACATATCAGGTGAAAAGCACCATCAGGTTTCAAACTGAGTTGGTGTAGCATGGAATTTTTCACTACTAATGAAATGATTTTAAAGCCTTTAAAATGCATGTAAACACTAGTAAAGTGATGATGGTTTTCAACACAGAGGATTATAAAAATAGAATAAAATAAAATAAAATAATGGTCAGTCAGCGACAGAGCAAAGTTCAAATAAGGACAGGAGACACTTCCCTGTAACAGAAAGGCTGCGGAGTAAATTGAGTTAACAGTCAACAGTCTGTGTTGATGCCATGACTGATGGACCATCACTGCAGCTTCCCAAGCTTTCATATCCAGCTAACCAATCCAAATCCACGAGCAGAGCCCCCCCCCCCTTCGACCCTGCCCCAGAAACCAGTGTTGTGGCTAATTGCTCTGTAATTACTTTTAATTAGATTATTTCTGTCTCTCTCCCCTCTCTTTTCTCTGTGACTATTATTTTCACCTCCGTGTCATTTTGGGCCCCGGCAAGAGCAGCCATTGTTTTCTGCAGAGCTAGGTGAGGAGGAGGAAGAGGAGGCAAATGGGGGGGAAAAAAAAAAGGCAGAAAGACAAAGAGAGGGAAGGAGGGAGCAAGAGGAGGACTGACTGGAACAATGGGGAGAGTTAGCCAAACGATGATATTTTGACAGCAGTGAGAGAGATGACACCAGCAGCGTCTAGCCTGCTGACATGCCTCGCAGAGAAAACATGACCGCCTAGTGAGTCTCACTGGGCGAAAGGGAGAAAGGGGGGAGGGGAGGAGGAGGAGGAGGAGAAGAGGGAGCACCAGAGAAGGTCTGAGGGGGTAGAAGAAAGAAAGAAAGATGTGTGTGTATGTGTTGGGGGATGGGGATTTAAGAACTGCTGATGTTTTCATGGCATTTAATCTTCAGGATTTAGAAGCAAAAAAAAGTTTCAATGTGCTCCATGTGCATCCGTGTGCTGCTGCCCCTCAGCCTGAATGTGCTGCTCCATTCAGCAAACAGCTTGAGTGTGGGCCGTGTAATGCCGCCGCGATGAGAAGGGCAGATTTGGCGTCTCAAGAGTGTCAACAGAGTTAACCTCCTGGCCCTGACCTTGAGCTGCTTGCAGCGGGAATCACTTCCTGATAGGATTCATCCCAGACAAGTTGAGGGCAAGAGTTTGAGATGGTAACAGCTGAGTGACACAGAGTTTGTCTAAACAGACAGACAAACGGCTAATAAAACCGATCCCGAGGAGCTATCTTAAACGGAGTGACATAGGGCTTGGATCCATGGAGGCTAAGCCCAAAAACAGATGTGGTTCTGATGTATGGATGAGAAGGGGAGGGAGTGTCTAGACAGAGCGGACTAGCGGGAAGTCGAGGGGGAATGATGGTATGGGGTTTAAGAAAACAAAACAAAAAAGGATCAGATGTAAAGAAAAGGTAAGAATGAGAAAGAAATGTTTTTTCTTTTGATGCTCAGGCAGTAAACTCTGACTCTGTGTGTGTGTGTGTGTGTGTGTGTGTGTGTGTGTGTGTGTGTCTTTGTGCCCACACTCGGGGCCCGTCCTCCCTTTCCCTTGTCTGAAACAACCCTTTCTTTGTCTCCACTCTCCACTTCCTGTTTCATCTGGAACCAATTTCCCCCTCGTGCCTCGTCCCCAGGGGGAACACTCTCCTTGGTGCGCCACATTTACAGGGGAATGGACTGGCTTATATTCAGCAACACACTGACTGTGTGTAGAAGCTTCTGGTGCTCAACGCGGCGCATATGGAAACACAGTATAAGGGCACTGTTCAGAGCAGAATCTCAAGTCTAACAAAGCCTTGGGCAATGTCGACGGGGATGAGAAAAACTCTTCATATTTTAAAATAAAAAGAGATGCATGTTGGGAGTTACCAACGCCGTGCTGCATTTCAAATAGGACTGAGCTGTGGTTTTCAGAGCGGTAAACACTGGGGCTTGTACCTGTTCAGTGTTTGTGCTACATCCACTCGGGAGTGACGGGCCACCAAAGCAGCACAAGAACCGTGATAACTTTGCTGTATTACCACAAAATAATTCCAACCGCAGGTGATTAAAATAGCGAGAGTGTGCGATTCTACCACATTCACAGTCAGTCAGAGTAAGGGTGGAGGCACCGCACTGGCAACGAAAAACTGGGAGGAAAACTGGAATGCAAGTGAAATCTAAACCAAAATTATCCCCAACCGTCAAATTACAGAGTCTGTGTTGGTTCTACGGTGGACAGAGTGGAAAGAAGAAAAGAGAAGGAGGAGGAGGAGTTTGAGAACAGGAGGAGGGAGAGAGGGTAGAGTTTAGCAACATCTGGAATCAATCTGTCTGCAGGAGAAGAGGGAGGGAGGGAGGGAGGGAGCGGGTTTGATGGAAGAGGGAAGGGCAGAGGAGAAAGAAAGAAAGAAAGAAAGAAAGAGGAAAAGAAATAACAGAATGAGATGAAAATAAAGGCAGACAGACACACGCACATACAGGAGGAGGAGGAGGAGGAGGAATGTGGGGAATAAGGCGGCCAACGCCAAGAAAAGGGAGAGAAATATAAAGCAGTGAAACGTTTGCAAAATGGAGACAATGAGTCATAAGCGAAGAATGCCATGTGATTTATATTTTCTTAAGGGGTGGGGGAAGGGATTGGGGGTCTGAACTTGATACCTAGTTTTTCAGACACACTCGTTTACTCACACTCACCCTCAAGCACGCACATACACACATGCACACACGCACGCACACACACACACTCCCTGTCCCATATGGCCCTGCTTTTAAGTATATTACATGCCCCATGTGTCTTGACGAGTATACAAAAGGCACTTGCATTTCTGCCTGCCATACTTTTTTTTTTTTCTTAAATAAATAAGTGAAACGCTTGTCCAGGTTAAAAGCCAGGCTTTCGGTCTGCACTTCTGCAAGTTTCCATTAAGTTAATTCCATACAGTGTGTGAGTGAGGAGGAGCCTTTGAAGGCGCCGGCTGGCTGACTGTGAGGGCTTCAGAACTGCACTGGCAGGGATCAGCAAAAGCACAGAAAACCAGTCACACACACATAAACACACTCTCTCCCTCTCTGTCCCCCTCTCCGACTCCGCGGAGGGCAAAAACTAAAGGGCGTCTCTCTTGTTTATTTTCTCTCTCTCTCTCTCTCTCTCTCTGACTTGCTATTTTAGGAGAGGGAAAGAAGTTGGGGAGTTGCTGGAGCAAATGGGAAGGAGCCGGGGAAAGAAAAAAGGAGCAGCAGTGGTGAAGGAAGGCAAAATGACATGAGGTCAACAGATGGTGAGAGGGGAGGGAGACGAGAGGGAGGAGGGGAGCGGGGTAATTAAGGGGGCTGCTGCAGGCATCCAGTGGTCCCTAACAGAACAGCCTAAGGAGGTGGACTGTCCCAGTGTCCCAATCATATCACCCAATGTAAGAAAAACCCCACCTGCTACCATCAATATATCATTACGCAAAAGAACAAAACCACCATTTACTGTGGAGTTCTCTGGCTCACTAGTATCAAAGGTCTGACGATGACCTAGGACCCAGAATCAACAACAGTCCAATTACTTTAACAGCCTCATAACAATTGTAAAACTAAAACCGGCTCAAGATCATCATCAGGTGTTGTCTACAGATATTTCTTGGCAAAAAAAAAAAAAAAAAAGGGCTCAATATAAAAGATCCAAATCAAAACCTCTATGAGGTCAACAAATCACGAGTGAGAAGGGGGGGAAAAAAAAAAAAACGGATATGAATGGGTCACACTGCGAGAGGATCAAACGGCGCCACCGTATAATGCAGAAACTGAAGGAGAAGGAATTAACAGAACATGCTGGAGGGCAGAGGACAGAAAGTGATGGATGTGCTTTGTCAACGTGCTGTACTCGGAGAGGTATATCACAGCCAAAGGATGAAGCTGAAAATGACAAACGCGACGGGTATGGTCGATATGCAAGGGGGGTGGAGGGGGGGGCATGAAGACAGACCAAGACAACCAAGAGGAAAGATAGAGAGACAAGATGAATTGCAAGTTTCCCCCGCAGACTGAAGGCTTAGTTCTCATGACAGCAACTTTTTCAGACCAGGCAGCCAAAATTCTGCCCACGCAATAGGACAGTTATGAGTTTTTGTTTCTTTTTTAGTTCTAGTTTTTCTACTTTCTTAAAGAGTAGGAGTCTTGGAAAACTTCTACAAGTTATGTTTTTCATATCCTGACTGACAGTAACGAAACATGAGGCTCGGGGGCATACGCTGGTCGGATTTATTGATGACCGTCTCCTTTCCGCCCACTGTGTGGTCTGCTATTAACAACAGATGACCTGCAGTTAAGAATTATACAGGTGCTCATGTGTGGGCCTCATGCGGGTTCCCTCTACATGCCAGGAGTAGCACACACTGACCTCTGCTTTTGAATGTTTACAGTGCCGGTGAGGTTTCCTGAACAAAATGTCCAATGTGCGATTTGACAGACTGGGATTAGCTCCTCGCTGCCTCCACTTTTGCTCTTTATCACAAAGTAGAAACCGGGAACGTGAAGACGATTTACTGTATGTGATATACAAATACAAATATCTGATGTGACACTTGAATGTCAGTGATTAAGCCTTGACTAAACTTAACTTGCTTTATTTCATTATCTCAAAGCATTTAGAAGTTTAGTTTTGTAATTTAAACAGTGGGATTCTATATGTATATATATATATATATATATATATATATATATATATATGCAGCATAACTTCCACTAATATGCTGCAAAGGCTGTTTCATTGTTTTCTGACAGATCTAATTATTTCAGTTTGTCAAGGCAAAGCCTGTAGTGAACCATGGGCATGCATTATGTTACAATGGCTAATAAATGAAAGTGGAACACGTCTATTTCAGTTTTTCATTTCATGCTCTAACAGATTGTCCGCGGTGTACTTATTTAATGACGTCTTGGATCAGTTCTCGGCTTCAAATGGTCCACTTAATAAAGTATTTGGGCTCAGTATTAAACAGCCTCCTGGCTGATCTTAAAGAGGACAAAATATTACACACAACTTAACGGATGCACGTTCACTCCATAACTTAATGTTCATTACGTACGACACTGGGGCAGCTATGACAATAACAGAGGCAGTGCATCACAGACGACCCCATGTAAGGGAAACACTGAATTGACATTTGGCTCTGTGTGGGTGGAGATGGGAGCACATATGACAGTTTGGGGGCAGCAGTGGGGAGGAGGCGTGTAGGGGTGGGGGTGGGGATGGGGTGGTGACATGATGACCATAAAGGGAGAGTTAACATGCTAGTGTCATGTTAAGAGGAGTCGAAACAGCTTTACAGTGGAGAGAGAGAGAGAGAGAGAGAGAGGGAGGGGGATGGAGAGAGGGAGAGAGAGATCTAATCTATTTCTTTCTTTTTATGAATGGAGCCTTTTCCACTTTTCTCCAATCTCATTATTTCTTTATGCTTTGGCAATACAGCTGCTGCTCTTGCGCCAACAAAGCACAGTGAATTGAATTGAACACACACACAGAAAGAGAAAGAGAGAGAGAGAGGGAGAGAGAGGGAGAGAGAGAGGGAGGAGGAAAATATGAGTTGAGCAACTTTGCCTGGGGAATTTTTAGCTTATCGTTGCCAGTTCAAAAGTCAAGGGTGACCCGCTCTGCTCCAGCTCAAAGTTTAACAGCAATCATTAAACAGCAGCAGAGAGCATAACGTGAGAGCAGGTAGGACTGTGTACGATTCTCTGTTAACACACATCGGTACGGGCTGAACAACACAACCTGACCCTCCTCCTCCTCTGCCTCTCTGTAATACTGCTCCCCTTCTGTGGACATTTCGTCTTTTCTGTGAATAATTCAGGCTGCTGACTTCTGAAGGACACTTAGACTTTTAGACTGCAGTCACACACACACACACACACTCTCTCTCTCTCTGGGTACATGCACGACTAGTTGTTACTGTAGCTATGCAACCACTGGGCCTATTGGCAATTATCAGAAGAGCCGGCGATCGAATTTTCTCCTGCTACATTATTGTCAGTGATTAGGGATACCAATCAATCACTATTTACATTATCAATTAATCTAATATTTTGTAATGCAACTATTAACACGATAAAATGTCAAAAATAATAACGAATCCCAAATTACTAAAGATAAAACTGATGTCTTCAAATTGTGTAGTTTTGTCTGATGAGTCAAATGAAAGCACAAATATGAATATGAAACTGAAACCTGAATCCAGCCAATTGTTTGATTTAATTACTTGATAACTGATTTAACTGATTGACAAATTATTCATTTTGTCATGGATTTTATTAACTTGGATATAAAAAAATAAAAATAAAATACAAATACTACATGAGCTTAGATTTTATGATGTAAAAAAATGTTACCATTTGTGGGATTAGGGCTGCAACTAACAATTATTTTCATGATCAATTAGTACATTCTCCATTCATATCTTAATGTAGAAAATACCTAAAGATCATCTTAATTTCTCAGAGCCAAAGATGACGTCTTTAACTTGCTTGTTTTCTCTGACCAACAGTGCACAACTGATCATCATCCAGGTCAAATCATCACCCTGAAGGAGAGTGTTTGCTTGAAAGATGACTCAAATGATTAGATATATTTTCTGTTGATAGACTAATTCATTAATTACAGAATCATTCCAACTCTAAATCTCAGTGTCGACAAGAGAAATCCCAGACAATTAGATTTTGTACAGGTGTCAGCAAAAATTATTTTAAATTTTGGTTGCAATTTACTTCATTCATTAATTAAGGAACCTGCCCCCCAAAAAAACAGATCTCCAAAGTTTCCTTTAATGCCTGCTGTCTGAGGCAAGTGGTCAGCAGAAAGTGGTCAGCAGCAGACTGTAGGCAGCAATATGTTTTCATTAGCAACCAATGTAACAGGCTGAATTTCTCATTGGACTCCTGGGCAATAAAAAAAAAAAGAAAAAGAAAAAACTTTACATAAGCGCACTAGTTCTACAAAAACAAGCAACGCTCAATGTAATGAACACCAACTGTGGTGAAACAAAAGCTGCTCACTATCAGTAATAACCTATCTCAGTGATCTGTCCGTTCATATCAACCTCGCCCCCGCCTCGCCTGGCCCCCTCCCTTCACTCGGGCCCGTTAAAGCGATCAGTCTGGTTAATGCCCTCTCCTAAATGAGCTTTGATCTCGTTAGTGCGACACAAAGCCTCTTTACTGCCAACGATAGGACAAATCGGCTCTCTGAAACAGACAGAGAGACGGACGGAGAGAGTTGGAAACTGTACTCCCCGTGCATCTGAGTGGACCGCAGAACTGCCTCAAGAGGGAAACATCAATACTACCAACTGAGAACAGGAACAAAACAACAAAATCAAGAGAGGAATAAAGGGATGAGATGAGAAGGAGATGAAGGGAGAAACAAACATGGGAGGAAAGAGGGAACGAGACAGATGCAAAGCTGGAGGGGGGAAAAAAAGCAATAAATGTTACATAGATAGATGGACTGAGAAAGAGAGAGATAGTCAAAGATGGAAGGGGGGGGGACAGTAGAGAGACAGAGTGAAGGGGGGGAGGGGTTGGGGTGGTTTGCCTCACTGGAGCATCGAAAGCCTGTGAACCAGGAGTCAATTAGCAATCTGGAAATATGCCTGGGGGAGACGGGGGAGACGGGAGGGGTGGGGGGGATCAGAGGACAGCTAAAGGGGAGGAGGGGTGGGTGGGAAGGGGTCTGCAGTTTGGATGAGGCAGAGTGGGGGGAGGAGAGCAGGAGCAACAAAGGGGAGAGGAGGCTGCACTCTCATTTATTATTACACTCCTGATTTACAGTCAGCCTGGAAGGTCAGCAATCTCCTGGCTCTGGCTCTCAGTGGGAATACTGTGGTAATTGTTGGGTTGCATTTAGTTATAGGATCATCCCCTGAACTCATCTTCCCCGCACTGAGCACGCACGCAGCTACAGCGTGCCACCGCCATGCAACTACCACGAGATGACCGACTTGCCGGCATTAGCCCTCAATGTCATTCGCTTTTTTTTCTTTTTTTTTTATTTATTTACCCATTGAATCGAGCGTTATTCAACCACCCATCTTCATTCAGAGCACATCCTCCTGCTTATCTCTCCCTCCTTCTGATCATGCCATCCTGCCATCCATCACTTTCCTCTCAGCCTTTATCATGGGCCCTGATGGATGCAAGCTAATGGCTCTGATTTCCTTTCTGTCCTCTCTCACTCTCCTTGCCTCCATCCTTTAACCCCCCCCCCACACACACACCCATGCTCAATCCAGGCCACATAAATCCGAGTGTCATTTCTCTCCTGCAATACACCCAAATATTTTGTCCACTCGTCCGTCTTCTTCTTTCTCCTTCAAGCCATCCCGCTCTCTCTGCCTCACCTTCCCTCCATTAGTTCACTCTCCCTCCCCATCTCTATTTCCAGCCTGACCCCCCAGCCACCCCCACCCAGTGCCAAGCGATCAATACAACTGACGGGCGGCGAGAATCCTCCCCACGCCACACTGCTCATAGTCACATCATCTTTGCCGACGGGCTATAACCTTTCCCCATCATCAAGATCCATTCTCTGTGAGGCTCGCCGAGCATCACAACATTACGCGGGGACCTATTTGTCATTGCGGCAGGTCAGCTGCACAGCCAATTAAAGTATTTTTACCAGTTCCCCAGGATTCAATTACCTGCCCATGACCTCAAACTATGTCTGCCTGCCCTTCGACTGCTGTTCGTACTGTTTTCCTGGACTATAACACCACACGTCAGCTAAAAATGTTCCCTTGTACTGTTTGGGATTACGGGCACTTCCAAGGCATATGTGTGCAGATGTAAGAATGATGTGCAGTGCATGCGTTTGTGTGTGAGAGAGAAAGACAGAAAGAAAATAAACAGTGATAGATCCGAGGAGAATAAGCGAGGGAGGTGCACCACGCGCCTCGGCAATCCCCCTGGTTTACTGTAATATGCACATACGAGTCCGGCAGATGCAGGAATGGTTGCTGAAGCTTTGCTGTCTCAGCAGTCGAGTCATGAAAGCAGGGAAGACCCGTGTTAAGGAGGGCTCCCCGAGCCCCCTCGCTCCTTCAGTCTACACCAAAAGGCTCTGTTCTTTGTCTTTCACTGTGGTGACCCCTCCCCCAATCCTTGTCTGCCTCTCTCTTTTAACACCTAGCGACAATCAGGAGGGGGGGGGGGGCAGAGCGATTAATGGCACATGCGGTGTGTATCAGGATTTGATGTGGTGACTCACTGCAAATTATCATCACAGGTCTGAGTAATTTCTATCCACGTGAATCAGAAAAACGCTTGCAACTTATGACAAAGCACTGGTTTACTTTCTGGAAGAGAGGCATGATGAATGGGCCTGATCTTTGCTGTGCTGATGTCTGTCATAGCAATGGAGTCTGTATCATATTACCTTTGTCTGGCTTGGTCATGCTTCCTCACTGAGCAGCTCCAGGAGCACAGCCACAGTGTTTCACTAAACAACATTTTACTATTGAAACACTTTTTTCATTTTCTTTCTTTCTTTTTTTTTTGCAATTCATAAATCTCTCACTTGGTTTTAATTAGAGGATTTTTATATTTGCTGCAATGATGCATGATTGTGCTGTTGATGAGAGAAACGGGCCTGTCAAAACATTACCATCATTCCCTGCTGATGCTTAGGAACAAAAGCTTTTAGTGAGGAGGGAAGAGGAGGGCAGATGATAGTTTGTTACAGTGCTGCTACACATGAAGCTGAGATGGAAAACAAAACGACACAGCTCTGAGAATTTGGATACTACATGTGTTTACGATGCGTTTTCCTACCTGTCCAATGTCACCAACAACACTCCCGGTCCCGTCTATCCTGGGTCTTTTGCACTCCGCCGCGGCTAAGTCAGTCAGGGCAGCGGCTGTCTGAGCGTCGGGCTCCGGGTCTCCTCGCTTCATCCCCCGGACAGCTGCTGGACCCCCGGCCGCGTTTGCAAGGGGTCCGGCTGTTGTATCAATGTCTCTTTCCCGGTCCATTATTCCCCGACTAACGGGTAGCATTATAGATGCAACGTCGGTCGACATTAACATTGGACGGCAGACAGTCACCAGTCAAAAGTCTGTTGTTGTTTTTTTTTTTTTTGTTTTTACCTCTGCCTTTTTCCTCTTGGTTTTGTCCACAGCTCGATAATCACAATGGATCTGGCTTTTCCCCGAGACGCTCAGACGGATAATATTGAACAGATTTTCATCGATACAGACAGCTTACACTGTTTATTGTTTAACTTAGCGTTAGCTATTCGAGACAGAACATTATGACCATATCAGGATTCCGGACAAAGCACATTGAGTACAGCTTTTTCCTTAAAAAAAAAAAAAAAAAAAAAAAAAAAAAAAAGTGAAGCCACGCCAAACAGTGACCTATTTTAATAAAGATCACACGTCCGACTCTTGGATGCCTGACAAGCTAATTAGCTAGCTAACGTTAGCTAGCTTGCTAGCATTACATTCCGCTAGCTCTCTTTATAAATGTGGCTCGCAGAGCACACTCTCGCTGCCAATAATAGAAAATGTTGGAAATTAGCTCCACGCAGTACTTCTCTTTGTGCTGTGCCAGCCAGTCCTCTCTGCCTCTCGCCGCTAAACGTGTTTTTGCGTTAAAGCCCTCACTTGTTCCTACCAGCCTTCCCCTCGCTTTCAGTCCCCGTCTTATCACACCGTCCGTTCCCTCGCCGTGGTCTGCTGTGGATGTGTCTTGGCGTGCGGACCTGGCTGCCGACGAACACGATTTCCTCTGGTCTGAGTCCCAGTTGGTGTAACTCGTAGTGTGGAGGGAGCTCGAGCGCGCTGATCCGCGGTCAGATTTGTCTACGGACACCGCGTTGAGAAGGGAAGGACAGTGTGGTGAGGTGGGCTGGTCTGAGGTCTGCGTTTCGTCTGTCTCCTTCTCCTTCTTCTCCCTTCTCCTCCTCCTCCTCCTCCCTCCTCCTCCTCCTCCCCCCTCCTCCTCCTCCC